ACGCAAGGGGGAAGCGGGGAAGGGGGGGGAGGGGGGCAGAGGGGTTGCGTACTACCCAGTCTTTGGACTGCAGTCTCTCCAGCAGGTGGCGCATGGCAAAGACAGCCTCCTGCGGAGAGTCGTAGGTGGTGAGGATGAGCCTGCGGACGTGCTTGGCCTTGGGTGCCACCTCCAGGTGTGAGGTGGCTTTGACCACAGCCTTCTCCAGCTCGTTGCCTGTGGCCTTGAGCACAGATGCCTTGTCCTTGAGCCATGCGACCGCCATAGTGGGGTGGGGGGGGGAGAGAGAGGGTGGGGGTAGTGGGGGTGGGGGTGGGGGGGAGGAGAGAAAGAGAGAGAGGGGTATGAGGTCTTGGTTGGCTGGTCGTTGCCGTGGTGGGCCAAAAGGAGTGGTGGTGGTTGGTCGTTTCGGTCGGTGGCACTGCGGGCGAATGCGGGCATTATGGCATTGGGGGCATGGGGATGACGGCGGTGGGCTAGGGTGGCCGTGGAGTTGGTCGGCGTGGTGGCAAAGGCATCGGTGCCTACGGCTAGCCGACTCGATGCTTGTTGGTGGAGCTGGCAGTGCTGCTCTTGCTGCCCTTTCCCTTGGCCTTGGCTTTGCCCTTACTCCCGTTGATCTTGGGTGCGGGTGGCGGTAGCTGTGGCATGAACCGCTCAAGATCTTCGGCGCGGCGACAGCGGCCAAGGCGGACGGTCTGGACGGTGGCGCCGCGGAGGCAGGACATGGCGTCGAGGGAGGCGCCATGGCGAAAGGTGACCTGGACGAGGAGAATCTGCTTGTGAGCAAGCGAGGCGGTGCGCTGGAGAGCCTTGATCGACACCCAATTTGCGGACCATGGATCCGAGTCGCCGGCAAGGATTCGGACGCAGAACTGGGCGTGGTGGGCAGCCGGGACGAGCTGGTAGAGCACAAAGTGACAGCCAAACTGGGTCCCGTCACGCGGAGTCCAACCGCGCGAGCGAAAGAAGTGGTATGCCGCGTACTTGCGCGCAAAGTCGCGATCGCGGGCTGAGAACCGGCGCCACAGTGCAGCCGGCGTCAGCGCCGCGCCACATGAGGCGTCGCGAACCTGCATCACTCCCAACGCCTGGACAAGGAAAAAGGTCTCAACAGGCATGAGATGCAGCGGGTTAATGACGGTGGCGGCGGGGAGCCGTCGCGGCTCTGCGACCGCTCCAAGCATCGCTGTTGAGGGCGACGGCTCGGCCGATCCTGCCGGGGATGTCGCCGCCGACCGCGCGGCCGCCACAGCCGGAGGCGGCGTTCCCACACCTGCGCCCGAGTCGCCGCTGCCGCCGTCGCCGTCGCCGTCTTTCAACTTCCGCCTCCGCTTTGAGCGGCGGACAGGGAGCAGCGAGACCAGATCCGGATCGATGCCAGCGCCATGGCCAAAGTGGCAGGCGCCGGCATCGGACCGGGCTCGCTTGAGTGACGGCGGCGGGAGATCGGGAGTGGGGACAGAGGCCGGGGCCAGGGGAATGGCCGATGGCGGGCGCGAGTGGTGTCCACTGGCGCGACGGCGGTTGATGCCACGTGCCAGCGGCAGGGTGGCGCCACCGGGAGCACGATCAAACATGGCGTGGCCGTAGCCGGCGCGGGAGAGGAGGCTCGCCGACGCCGCGTCGGGCACCGTCACCGTCCACGCCGTACACCGCGCCACGACAGGGCGGTCCACAGGCTCGCGAGTGGCTCTCGCCGCCGCCGCCGTACGCCGTCTGCCTTGGAGCCGTATAGGGTCCATGGGTGAGGGGGGGGGAGGGGAGAGGTAGAGGGGTGTTTGAGGAGAACGGTGGTGGTGGCGACATGGCTGATTTGCGCCACTTTACGGGCGGGGCAAGGCCAGAGGAAGGGCAGATGGATGCGATCTGGTGGGAGCAAAGATGGGGGAGGGGGGGAGGGGGGTCAGCAAAGGCGAGTAGTAGCAAGTGGGTCGTGGCAGGCGGGTAGTGGCAGGCGGATATGGTAGAAGGTGGATGGATCTTACTGGGCCTTGGACTTGGGCTTGCGGTTGTAGGTGGTGCGGTAGAAGTTGTAGAAGAGGGCAAGAAGGGTAAAGGCGTAGCACATGTTGAATGCCAGGATCTCCTTGCCGTAGTACGGGTTGCCGATGATGAGGCCGTAGGCGCCCTGGGCAACAAACGAGACAAACTGGATGAGCTGGAAGACGGTGAGGAAGCGCTTCCACGGGCACGGCACGTTGATGGTGCGGAGGAAGTAGTACGAGTACATGAGGACGTGGATAAAGGCATTGAAGGCCGCCGCAAACCACGCATCACCACCCGGGAAGTACAGCCCATTGATGAGCCAGACCAGTCCAATCGAGGCATGATGGTAGACATGAAGGAACGAGATCTGCTTGTTCTTCTTGCGCAGAATCATGAACAGCGTGTCGAGGTACTCGGGGATCTTGCTCATGGCGTAGAGCCAGAGTGCAGAGGCGATCTGCGGCGATAGTGGAGGAGGAGGTGAGAGGGAAGGGGGGGGGGGGGGGGGGGAGGAGGGGAGGGAGGAGGAGGGAAGGGGGAAGGGGAAAAGGGAGAGCGGAGGGAGAGTGGAGGGAGAGAGAGAGAGAGAGAGAGAGAGAGAGGAGGCTGCGGCGCT